ACTATTTATAGTGATATTACGTAAATATACGTATGGTAATGAACAATTTATAATAAAGATATTTTTCTTTGATATTTTATACCTTGTTCTATATTTGGTTCCATTTATATATACCTATACATAGATATATAATAATTTAAGGATTATAGTAGTAGTTAATACTACTACATATAAAACCCAGAAGTGCATCAATAATGTATTTTTCAGTATTATTTAACTTCATTCTGAAGAATTTTCTGCAGTCTAGTTTGCGATATTTTATTCATAAGTCTCAAATAAAAACAATTATTGTTTATATGTCATTAGAAAATTAACCAAAAAGCAGCGACCACAATGTAATTGAAAAACAGTCCTTTAGACGTGAAATGGTTGAAAGCCATTCGGTTATGACTATTATCTCACATACTCAGCTACTTCGCATACATGGAACATAGAATTCGAAATGAAAAACTCAATTTTTACTACAAATTCATCCGTGTAACAAATATCTGTCTTTCTACACCTATGGCTTTTAAAAAAGATGTTATTTATCTTACAGTTTATCGTTAAGTAATACACATTTTCATTGTACAAAATTGCATTCATTCGAGGGGTGATTTCCATCCAGTAACTGTATGCACTGGGCAAAATCTGATTTTATCAGAAATTAATCTGATGAAATTTTTCTTCATTTTAAGATAAATCAACTAGTACTTGAACTAATATATATTACAGAACAATTATCATTGCCTAATTAATTAATATATTGTTTAAAAAGAAAAAAGGAAACTTATAAGTATGTGCATTTTTTATTATACAGTTATTGAAAGGAATAGTTTGATAGCTTTTAATTATCCTGTTCATTTTCTTGATCTGTTATCCTCATTTCTTTCGTTTTATAAATATATGAGGTATATGTAAGCATGAGTGATAAAAGTACAAAATCGACGTAGCAGATTTCTTTTATGCAATGACATCTTTATTCAAATTATAGAATGTAGGAGTTCCAAACACATTCTGTTTCAAAGTTTGTTTTTTGGTCAAAGTGATACTTGAAAATATCCTTTCTGCAGTTGCATTGCTCACTGGCAAACTGTACAGTTTCAAAGTAAATGCTGTTATATCTTTTAAAACAAGATTGGGTGGAGCATCTTTAATTTTAAAGGTTCACCTCCAAAATAATGAGCCATCATTTGTGATCTCAGAAAAATAAATATCATTCCAGTCAATGTTGAATAGTTTTCTCTTCTAACTTTCAGTTATGCGTATAATCTAGATTCATCTGAAAATTCTAAGAGATGTTCAGAAAAAAAAAAAGATGTGACTGAGATACTTACTGAGTGGAAAAGTTCTGAGTTGCTTTTAATGATGTGTAATTTGGAGGAATGCACTGAAAAAGTTCACTGCACTTACTTTTTAAGAACTCGTGACATCTTTCCTAAATAGTACTTTGTGATTCTGTCGAAATTTCATTAGTTTTATTTGCCATACAAGATGAAAAAAAAAAAAAAAAATCAACATTTTCTGTTGGCCAATAAAGACATACAGGTCATGTCACCTGCAAGATATATATATTCAGTGTAAATTATTCTTCTGAGCACTTCAAGTTTTCTGAAAAATTTTACAGTGATCAGCATGATCATTTTCGTAAAGTAAATTAATTCTTTTAAAAGTCTGATGAAATGGGTATAGTAAATGTCATTTGAAGAATCTGTATTAATTTTTTAGAGTTATCTAGCTAAATGATTATCATATGTTGATGCAGCAATCTGAAAATGAATTGTACTTATATATTATCCCATTGACTACAGTACAAAGTCCGAAATCCAGACTCGTCGGGACTTTGGCGATTCCGAATTTGGGATTTTTCCGGATATTAGATCATCAGTTTAAATCTAGTAAGATGGCACGTAGAAATTATAAAATAAAAAATATGAAATCTTGATTTATGAAATAATGAAGTATTTTTTATCTAAAGAGTATCAAAATTTACAAAAAAAAAAAAAAAGCTTAATATTTATTTGTTTACCTTATTAAACACTTCTTTCAATGTAAGTTGTTTAAGTTGTTTCTTTTTTGTGCTAATACTTTTCTCTTTAATTCTGTAGACAGACATAATCTCTTGTGTAGTTACATTGTTGAAGTCCTGTAACTGATGTTTGCTGTTTCGAGAATTCGAACTAACTTGTCAATCAAAATTTTCCCATTTGCAGTAACTTCTCTGTCACTTTCTTCACTATCGGTAGTGGTATTTTCTGGATCTAGAACCATACTACAGATTTTGCCATTCATTAATTGACTGGTGATTGAGAAGCATTGTCATCACAATGAAAAACTTCTTTTATATCATCTTCATATATTGCTACTTCTCCACATTTCTTTACAAAATCCGTTAATTGGAAAATTTCACTTTTGTTCTGTGATATCCGAAAACCTTTAAAATTAGCGGCTTTCGTCATCAAATTTAGTTATCCTTCACTATACATGTTTGGCTATGCATCATGAGCTTGGCGACTAACGACAAGTTGCTCTGTTAAATTTTATCTTGCTTCTATTGCGCACAGAGATAATTAAGCCTGGATTGTATTAGTTTCGTTATTTATTATACTTATATCTATTTCTTGCACATGCTTAAGGCTTATGAGAGTTCTGAATAAATGAATTCCTACATATACTTAAGCCTTATCGAGGGCTGGCACTAGATATCTTACCGTCTGATGCAGTCTCTGTAGGTCCTAAATTCTGTGACCTGGTGCGGCCATACAAGCCCTGGCACTGGTTCTGGGTTTATGTGAATAACGAATCAGTTATTCTTAATTCAAATAGCCCTAAATGTAATCTTTGGGTCTATGAGTATCATCAATAGAATCTATTTTGAGCATATGGAAAGAAATTTTTGGTAAATTTTTCTTCGTCAACAATTTTTAGCGCATTTAACTTAAATCTGTAATCATTGCCAATTGTAATGTCAACATAAAAGGTTACCATACTTCTTTATTATTCAACTACTAACATAAACAATTTTTTTAGGCATCGCTACATGAGTCATTACTTAAGTGGTCATGTTTTGATAAACATGCGGTGAAAGTATAATAAATAATGATTCACCCAGGTTGGCGTCAAATCAGCAATGGATCTATGTGGAATGTTTTGGTTTGAGATGTGTGCTAAGCAGATACGCAGCAACGGAGCCAATTTAATGATTGTACAAATTTAAGCTAAAATGATTGTTCCTTCAACAAGGTATTTTATTTAGTGTCAAAGTGAAATTCGGAAGAATCGGGACCCTACAGATGTTTTATTATGCATGGAGGGGGGGAATCAAATGTGCAATCGTAAAGCCTACGAAAAAACATAGTTGGTGGTTTTGAGGTCCGGATTTTAGATTATTCTGGGTAATGGACGTCCGGATTTCAGACTTTATACTGTATAAAAGTGGGCTATTATCAAACTATGAAAGTTGTCAGAGATCTTGCCAGAGTTGTGCCGATTGTTCATGTTGAATCCTGAAGGAGCTGTCGTCTCTTTCTTTAATAAACAATAAATATTCAATCTGCTTCATTCCTGCACTTTGTAAAAAGGCTTTCGATGATTTCTGCAATTTTGTTAGGCTCTCTGGAAGCTCTGTTTAGAATGCTATGATTATAAACTTCCCACATGTAACTGCTGGCTATCCAAAATGCAACACCGGGAAAGAAGCATCCAGACAGTATAAAGCTTCATCATATGTATACTGTGATGGAATATACAAATGATTACAATTTCAGAACATTCACACATCATGAATGACTGCAGCTTTCCTTACAATCCATATGTAAAAGGAGAAATGAGTGTTGTAATAATGGGAACTATTCTGTTGTCAGATCTTTTGTTGTGAGCAGTTTCAATATGCTTCTTAGAAAAACACGAGCATCATTGAAGTGTGTTTCTAATTTCGATCAAGGCAGACTCATTGCATGGAGAGATTGTGGATTATCCTTCCAAGAAATCAGTGTGTCATATATAGTGAAGCAACAGTCGCGAATATGGATGCAGGAGGGAGTAACTGATGGACAGGAGCAATTGCAACTGCTTTATCACACTTCTTGAGAACACAGGCAAATTCTGCACATGGAACTGGTGGAGCACAATGCCACATTTGCAACCATATCACAACAAATGAAGCTTATAACACAACAATCGGTATCTGCATGAACAATTAACTGTTGAGCATCATCATACTGGTCCTTCACCCAGTGTTATCATATGGGGTGATATTGGATTCCTCTCCAGCACCCCCTAGTATGCTTTAGGATACACTTACCAGCCTTTGCTATATATCTTTGAAGTTTCACAGCCTGTTGTCCTTCCTTACCTTCAGAGCTTGCCTGAGGCCACATTTCAACATTCCAATGCATGATCACACGTTTAAGCTTTCTTCTTAGCTCACTCTATTGCGTTGTTATCTTGGCCTGCTCGTTCTCCAGATCTATTGTCCATCGAGCATTTCTGGTCAATGACTGGAAAACACCTAGCCATGGTGAACCAGATGAACTACAGCTACGTTTGGGGCAGCATGAACTGCCACTTTCAAACAACACATCCAAAGCTGCTGCAGCATGTAGCAGTGGTTATTGACAGATGTGGAGGCAGCACTCATTATTAATTTTCTCATCTTCCTCACCTCAAAATAAATAGTTTCAATTTCATTAATTATTCACTTTTGTATGGAATTCATACTGTACCACCATTTTGAAAATGGCTGTTTCATTTTATGCATTAGCATGGCAAAGAAAAATTAGTGATATGAGAGTTTACAAATGCTCTCCAAAATTGGCAACAAATTTGCAACTTTTCAATGTGTGGGAGGGGATGTTAATGAGAAAATAGCAAAATTTGCACAGTCAAAAGACTGCATAAATAAGAAAATTATTTAGACTTCTGATATTAATTTTATGCTAGACTATTTTTAGCATTTTATTATACAAGTTGCTTTTTGTGCAATATGAATTTTCCCACCCCTAAAAATATAATTTTTATAGATAGAAGTCAACCAAATGCATCGTGAACTCCAAGGAAAGTGTTATGATTTAGAATATGCAATTAAGTAAGTATGCTTTCATTTAAAACTTGATTTTTTTCTTTTGCTTAATAATCATTTCATTCTTAGCTATTATTTTTTTCTAGTTAGCACAAATTTAATTGTGATGAACTTTTCACATGTTTAGAATTTGAGTTTGTTACTGTAAGAGCTAGATTATCTGGAAAGCTCAGAAAATGCAAAATGCCAGATTCGTGGAAATTCTGCACAGTTGAATTTATAAAAAGTGCAGTTCATGGTAGAAAAACCGAATAAGTGGAAGAAAAATTTAGTCTAAAAACTATAAGGCCAGTCATGTTATTTTTCATCAACTTGAATGACAAAAGCCTATAATCAAAATTATATAATATTTCAGTGAAGAAATGCCTTCCAGACAGACAGATGGATGGATGGCTTTAAACATATAAAATCCAGCATAATTTCATAAGTTTTAAACATATTAAAGTAAAATATCCGATTATGAAATACTGTCAACTACGAAAGTTGATGGAGATCCTGCCAGACTTTGGCATTTGTTCCAACTGAAATTTAAAGGACTAGATTAGTTTTTCTTTAGTTAGATAATCAACAGATACAAGTTACTGAATACAAATTGCTGAGCATTTGCAAATAAATAACTAATTACCTTAGCTTCAATTTTTTAAGTACTAAAAGCAAATTATAATTTAAAATTTGCAAAAGTGATTTCTTGTGTAAAGTGAAAACTAAATACATGGCACTAACTAAATAATCCTTATATGCTGTACTACAGGGGTCAGCAACATGCACTTGCAACATGCTGTACTACAGGGGTCAGCAACATAAACTTGAGGCATGTTTGAGATGCATCCGCAGTACTAGTATCTCTAAACAGGAGTAGCCAAAGCAATCACAGCGTAAAAATATTTTGTATCAACTTATAAAAAAGGGAAAAGTTATTGTTACTGTTAGTCTATAGGAATAAAAGTCACATTAGCTTGAGCTTATTAATTAGGCATTGAAGATGATCATTACTCTATTGTATATATACAGTACAAAGTCTATAATCCGGACTCGTTGGGACTTCAGCAATTCTGGATTAGGGGTTTTTCCGGATTATAGATCATCAATTTAAATCTAGTAAGATGGCATGCATAAATTATACAATTAAAAATATGAAACTGTAATTTATGATATAAAGAGCAATTATGATCTAAAGGGTATTAAAATTTACAAAAAAAACTTAATATTTATTTGTTTACTTTAGTAAACATTTCTATTAATGTAAGTTGTTTAAGTTGCTTCATTTTTTGTGCTAATACTTTCTCTTTAATTCTATAAACAGACATAATTTCTTCTTCAGTTACAAAGTTCCACTGTTCAACTCCTGTAATTGCTGTGTCGAGAATACCAACTAACTTGTTAATCGAAATTTTTTCGTTTTCAATAACGTTCTCTGTTACTTTCTTCACTATCGGAAGCATCCACGGGTAAATGCTTTACTGGCTTTACATGCATGTGTAACGGACGCACGCATCAAATGCACATGTGTAAGTTTGTGGCTTTGAGGTCCAGATTATAGATCATTCCGGATAATGGACGTCTGGATTACGGACTTTGTACTGTATTTTAATTTCTGTGGCCTCACAAACATTGTCACAAACCTCATAAAAACAGTGGCTTAAATTTTATGTTGAAATTGTACTGTGAGGTGTATCGTTTTACTAACCTTTTAGTTAGGTTTTATCCTATGTCTTTGGAATTAGGACATCTCATAAATCTGAAGACAAGAATTCATTTGGAGCATTAGAAGGTTAAACATGTTTTAAGTTAATAACAAATTAGTTTTAACCTTGCATGATTTCAGGTTATAAACAGTAGTTTTTGATTACTTAATAAAAGCATATTTATAACTTTTACTAAACGTAAGGACAAAGTTATCATATATGTCAGAATGATGAGAGGGCCAGGAAGTTAAAAAAAGTAATAATAACTACTATTGTCCCATTTGAAACAGTATTTATGTATGATATAATTTTTTAATATTTTACAACTTAATAATACCTAAGGCCTAGAATTAGAAATAATAAACTTGCAAAATGATCATATTCTGAAAGCACACTGCAATGACAACATATTTTGTAACTTAGTTGATAAAAATAGTTACCCCTATTCATAGAAAATATGCAAGATCTAGTTATGTTGTTCAACTGCTTTGATTCAGAATATCGAAACAAACTTAGAATGCACTCTTACCATGATTAGCTATATACTTGAAGGTAAGTAATTCCAATTATATCCTTAATTATAATAAACTACCAGAAGAATTACAGGATTAAATATCACATTAAATTTGTACATACAATAACATTTGCTTGTTTTATAATTTGATTTGTGATTTTATATTGTGCTTTTGATTTAGTTACTACATCCACGTATAATCTTTATTCTGTATACTAAATACTACACATACGATATTTACTTGCATATTTTCCCCATAGATTCTTTTAGCATATGATTTAGAAATTTCTGATTCATCGTAATAGTAGAAAATGTATGCACATATTGGGAATTATTTTAAGTAATTAAAATTAAATTAAAGTAAAAAGAATTATTAAATTATAGTAAGTATATATTACTAAGTAAAAAGAATATTTATTAAATTATAGTAAGTATATATTATAAGTAAAAAGATATATAAAAAAGTATGTTTTTAATGTGCTGTGTATATCATTTAAAATGTCCCTACAGAAATGGTATACACTATATATTTTCTCTCTTGGTTTTCAAGAGGTTAAATTAGTAGGAAAAGGGAGAAAATTAGCAGGTGAATATGGAATTTAAAATGTAATTATTTTGTTTATTAATTATTGCAACATTGTTACAGAAAATTTCGAAATTTGATTTTTATTTCAAAAAAAAAAAAAAATGTGTGCACCTTTATGCTTTTAAAATTTTGAATGTGCACTTAGAAGAAGGTTGCTGACTCCTTCTAGACATTATTTATTAAACAAGCAAACCACAGTGAATTTAAGAGTAACTTTTTATCCTATTGAAACAATTTTACTCAGACCAAAAATATAACTGTTTAATTTATGTAGTATGTAAAGTATTTTAGTCCAATAGCAAAAGTTTATCTAGAATATGACAGTACAATTAAATTATGTGAATTACAGGATTATTTAAAATAATGATACTGCAGTGTTTCAGGGAAACATCCCCCCTCCCATGTTAAAGAAGACAGCCATAACATGAATATTTAATGAAAATTATTTGTAATTTTAGGATGCACTGTAGAAACCACTTTGAATTTTATTAGCAAAACATATATGTCATGGGAATGATATCAAAAAATCCTTTAGGAGTTATGAAAATTGCAGTGTTTAGAAGATTTTTATGGTTAAATAAGTCCTGCTGTGTGTGTCTTATCTTTACATATCAGTATTATTTTAAGCTTAATAAATGTTCTACTGTATATATTGTGTTTTCTGATTCTGTAAATTTTGTAAATTCTTTAAATTGTTCTTTATTTTAGTGCTATAAAATCCATGCAGAAAAGTCATGACCATTTTCGTAACATTCATCAACTTATATTACAAGCCATTACTGTAAAACAACGTTTAAATAATGAAGAATCAAAAAAGTCAGACAAGAAGAAGACCAGTATGTATCAGAGATTTTCTGGTTCTTTTGATCTGCCATCTTCCATTTTGCCTTCTGTTACTTCTGGCCTCAGTTCATCTGCTTCCGTTAGTGCTGATCTCAAATCTTCTCCTATCCAAGCAGTAAGACCTTCTTCTGCAGCTTCTTCTCCTAGACGATCTAGGGCTTCTTCTGTGTCATCTGTTCCTTCTCGCTCAGCTCTTACACGACAGCACTCTGCATCCTGTTCACCCACTAAAAAGGATCGTGTCTAATACCTTTTATTTATGCATAATTCACACATTTTTTATTCACCAGTCTTTGTTTTTTTATAACATATGCACTTCACATTTATCTGGAAGTGTAAATAAACTAACTTCTTTGAAAGCTTATCTTAAAATGTAACATATGTATGTATTGTTGTAAAAGCATTTACCTACATCTAAGAAGAATGACTTTTACCTGAGAGAAAAATCAACTGTCATCCCTGAAAATGATATGATACTAATCAATGGTGATTAGAAATTTGAGACATCAAACATTACTTATCACTGCCTTGCATAACCACTTGCACTATGACTCAACTTCATGGTTGCGGTGCTGTGCACTACAATATAACAAGCAGTAAAGTGTCTCATTTACGCCGCTCCACGTCTGCGAGTGCAATCCAGAGCTGTAACTCAGGAAATAAACAATCTCGTTGTTAGGCGACGTGGGCACCACGTTATTTTCATTTTTGCAATAAATGCTTATCGACGTGGTGTTCACATCGCTCGCGGTTTGAGACAAAAGCATCATGACATGCGTGGGACGTCTTTTTAGTGCAAGTGGTTAATGCATAATATTTTATTGGTTATCAATGTATACTTTTACATGGCTGCTCGTTATGTGTTATTTAATTTCTACGTGTATTTCCTCTTGTAGTTCATCATTGACTATTTCATATATTTTATTTGCGTATGTATAATAGTCAGTGTATTTTTATTCTGATAAATTCAGAATTTCTTAGTAAACTGGTATATCTTTATTCCATGTCTCCAAAAAAAGTGCAGTGTTTCAGTATTTGTAATGGATGTCTTTCCCCTTCCTTTTCTGTTTTTCTTTCTCCCATTGATGATTGAACTTCCTTAAGGCATATGTTTCTACCAAGCTTAATTGTTAACAGAAATAATGCACATTTCTTTTTTTTTTTTTTTTTTACTTTTTTTACGAAGTAAAAAGGAAGTATTGTAATCGCGAAAAGTTTCAGGCAACATATTTCAACGAAAATATCCATTTTGACCGCTATCGAATGCAATTTAACGATGTTTTTCCATGATATCTGTACGTAAGGACAGAATAAAATACTCTTTTCCTTCAAAAAAACTATAAAACTGCTTTAAAATAAATTCTGAAGAAAATTTTTCGTGCCGTCTGTATGAACGTATCTACGTACGTACGTACGAATCTCACATAACTCAAAAACGAGTAGCCTCAGAACGTTGAAATATTGTATATCGGACTGCTATGACATGTAGATGTGCACCTCGTACTTTGGTTGCAATTGGCTGCACCAAACGTATATAAATATATTTATATATATATCCACTCTGTTACCCGGCTCAGTGATCTCAGTTTCTTTACTCTTATATGTTTGTAAATTTGTACATTTTTTGCTTTAAAAATGATTGTATTATGTTGTTTTTATCTTCCGGTTAAGGTTTTTATGCCTTTAGTAAATCTGTATGCAATATTTTTAGAATTACCAACAATTTTAAAGTAGTCTAAGTGCCGCTAAGCCTTTTTTTTTATTGCGGTCATTGATTGTTTACATTTGAAACAGCAGACTAGTGGATTTGTTGCCAATCTAGAGAAACTTAGCTTCGCAACAACAAAGATAATGCCTTCATTTATTATTGCCAATTAAATCATGCTTAATCCTTTCTGGAATTTTTTTCGAGGAAATAAGTGTTTAAGATTTACTTCGTAATTTTTAATATAGATATTTTGAGTTTTTATGTATTTTTGCCTTCTCGCGAAGTGAGAACTGAATTAATTGAATGAGAAATACTCAATCGTCTGCGAAAAATGTTTCTTTTTTGTTTTGTTTTCTTAATTTCTTTTATACATCATTCTAGCTTTATTATAGTATTTGAATAGAACATGTGGCAATGATTAGATAATTCTATTCTTTAAATGATATAAATTTTGTGCATTTTGAGTTATTATATGAACGAAATATATAAGTTAACTGTTATATAATTATTGGATTCTATAACAGTTAACTTAGTTTCCGTTATATAATTATTATATAAGTTAACTGTTATACAATTATTAATACTGTTAACCCCTTCCCTGTTTTGCCCGTACGGCGTACGGGCACAGCTTTCGGGCCTTTACTGATTTGCCCGTACGGCGTACGTTCAATCAGATTTCTATTTCGCTTGCACTGTTTCGGCCATATTTTTTCCAATTTTAGTAACAAATTATTCATATAGATGGCGATAGTTGTCCAGTAAATGATAGTTTGCATTTTATTGTCTGATTGGTTCAAAAGCGCGGGTTTTTTCGCATGTTTTGTATCAAAAGACGAATTGTTATCTTTCAGTGTATAGCTTTCTGGTTATATTTTACTAACCGCCTGATAATTGTATTGATGTAAGAGTTGAATAATATATTTTTACTTTTAAATAATGGATAATTCAGAGCGTATGGAGCTAATTTCTTGTGATTCGAACTGTGACTCGGAATCAGAAACTGAATTATCTGTAAATGATAGTAGCGAAAGTTTACTAGATGACCTGGATAGTAGTGACTCTGATAGTAGTACAGATGGAATCAGTCAAGCAAGGCAATATTTTTAAATTAGTTGTGATAATCCTTCGGATCCGCCTCCTAGATTTGCTTTCACTGGAATTCCAAAAATTAACTTGGATATCGATGAGACTAAAGGTAAACTTCAGTTCTATGATGCTTTCATAGACAATTATTTGCTTGACCTGATTGTTTTTGAAACAAATAGATATGCTGAGCAATGCATAAAAAAACGGTACACTTCGTACGCATACCAGGAGCAAAAAATGGACACCAACATTGAAAGATGAATTACATGTGTTTTTTGCTTTGAATATTCTGCAAGGTATTGTAGAAAAGCCAGTTGTTGAGCAGTATTGGAGCAAGAGGTATTCAACATCCACGCCATTTTTTCCAAAAGTGATGTCATATCGCCACTTTCAATTAATTTACAGTTATTTGCATTTTTCAGATAATATCAATTTTGACATAAATTCTCATGAATGTCCAAAATTATCAAAAATATGGCCCGTGCTAAAGCATTTAAAAACTTGTTTCAAAGAAATGATCATCCCTGAACGTGATGTTACCATAGACGAGAGTCTTATGTTGTTCAAAGGAAGGCTAAGTTGGAAACAGTATATTCCTCTAAAGCGATCACGCTTCAGAATAAAATTGTACATGCTTTGTGAGTCGAAGTCTGGATATGTATGGTCTATGATAATATACACCGGAAAAGGAACTGTGTTTGATGAAAGTTACAAACATTTGAGCAAATCTTCGCAGGTAGTTATTACACTTATGCAAACCACCTTTTACATAAAGGATACTGTCTGACAACTTTTATTCATCTCCTGAAATAGGAGAATATGCCTCATTAGTTACTGTACAGATATGTACGGAACATTAACACTTCAAAGAGAAGGAAGTTCCTAAAGCACTGTTGACAAAAAAGAAAAAAAGGCAAATGCTTGCTTACCAGAGGGGAAAAGTGTGCATTATGAAATGGATGGACAAAAAAGCCATGTCTCTCATATCTACAATACATAATCTGGAAATGGTTCAAGTATCCACTTTGGTGAATGAAATTAAACGGAAACCTAAAGTAGTTATGGAGTATAATAACACAATGGGTGGTGTAAATCGAATGGACCAGAACCTAAGTAATTATCATGTAATAAAGAAACGAGGAAAGAAATACTGGAACGCTTATGTTTTATATAAAAAGCACGTCGGTAAAGATACGAATTTACAGTTTCGATTGGAAATTATCGATCGACTTATTGAAAGGCATGCAGCAGTAGAAGAAAGAAAAGGCCGTCCTGGATATTTACCAACTCCACTAAGACTAACAAAAAGACATTTTTTAGAGGTTATTCCACCTACAGAGCTTTAAGATATATCACACTAAATCAGATCTTTTTTTTTTTGAAAAAGAAGGGTAAGTATGTTTTGTATCAAAACATAATAGTAAATGTAATTGAATTAAAATTGAAAATATCTAAGTAATTGTACTATTTTAATTGTAAATGTAACTTCCCTGTTCTGCATTCATGTAGGGGAAAAAAAAAAAAAAAAAAAAAACAACTTGCAGGGAAAAATGATTATTTTCATTAAAGGAAAAAAATTGTAATAAATGCTTAAAAATATTAGAAATGTTAATTTTAATAACATATCTTTACTTAATGTAAAATGAACAAAAAAATGCAATAAAAAATTGTGACATTTTTTTGACCGAATTCTGAAAAAAAAGGAAACTGTCAAAGGGTTAAGTGAATCTAGCACCACAGCGTCGCTATGGTAAACAAATACTAGAGTGAATTTTAAAGAATGCATTTATTCTATTGTGGTTTATGCGCTGTCGGCGAAGTAGATTTAATTCAATCCAATAAATTTAAATGAAATGCAAGAAAAAATGCATATAATTTAATATTCCGTACAAGGAAGTCACATCAGATTTTTTTAATTTTAAGAAATAATGTAGCATAATAATGTGACACTTCGAGATAATACTTTAGCTCCAACTCATGACAAAGGATGGCATGATGCATTTTAAAATTCCAAAACCTCTCATATTCTGGTCTATGTCATGTGTCATGATTTATATACCTAAACAGAAAATTTTTACCTTTTTCTTTTTTTCTGATCACAGATAAGCAGGTTTGAACTTGTATCAAATAAAATTCTTAATTTTTTCTCTATCAGTAATGATTTGCTGTTACTGCTAATAATTGATTAAAATGGTTTGTTATTTCATATTAGTAATTTAAATGTTTTGTTTGTTTTAAATTTTGTCAGATTTAATTATTCTTGATGTTATTTAGGTGTATATGCAGCATTACTGAGTTATCAAAAAAATAAATTAAAATTAAATGCAAACTAAAAATAATATTTAAATTTGGTGCTATCTCCAAATATATATATATATATATATATATATTACTTATTTACTAAGTATGCTTTTAAAAATAATTTTGTAATATGGGTATATGTTTCATCAGGAAATCTTTACTCTAAGTTATCATATAAAGCATAAGCTAAACATGATTCAATTGAAAAGTTTTCTTTGCTGAGTTATTTATTAAATTGCATATTACCTTAATCATGTATTTGTTGTTATGTTTTGTATTTAAAGTGCCTAATTTTAATTTGAACAATTCCACCTCATGTATAGCACCAGCAGCATCTCCCTCTACAAGCAACCCTTTGCTTCAAAAATTGCAGGAGTATCCATGAAGGAAAGAATCTTATATTTTTGAAATAATCTAAAAATTTAAGGGAAATATAAGCAGAAGAAATTTTTTTAATTTATAATTTAAATTAAATTGAATTTTGTATCTTATTCTGTAAATGTGTGTTTTTTGTTAACTGCTAAATTATTAACCTTGATTAACATGGTACTATATTTATTTTTTTTTATTTTATGAGAAACTTTTGTTTACTTTTTGAAAAATGATTTGAAATTTAAATGTTATTTAAATTTGTTTTGATACATTAAGTTACAATTTTGGTGTTAGAATTTATATCATCATTTTTAATTATATTAAATTTTAGTCTAAAAATTGCAAGGAAATATGTGAAATTTTAAATATACTTTTCTGATTGTTGTGTATAATGTATTTCTTATTATGAGTGATATTACTTATGAAACTTAACAGCTGTTTCTTTTAATCTTTTATCATTATAATCGTAACCTATCTTGTAATAATTATTTATTAATCATGGAAATACTTAATTTATGTGTATATAAATTTTGGTATAAATTCCGTATACAGTCAAAAGTCGTTAATTCGGACACCCATAATCCGGAATGATCTATAATCCGGACCTCAAAGCTACAAACTTTCTGCGCAGCGTCGCGTTTACGCATGCGCACAGGCGTTTACGAGAGCGCGTAAGACTCTTACGGCTGCGAATATGTTTGTGCGCATGCGCGTTTAAGTGTAACGAAGTAATAATACGCTAAGCTAAATTATCTAATTCAGTTAATGTTGCAGATTGCGTTGTTCCTTAATCTTCGAATTGGATCCGGCTTATTATTTTTTGCAGACTGTTAGAGCAATTTTATAAAAGTAAGCTTGAACTTTCGATTATGTCAAATTGAATTTCCGATATATATTTACTACAAAGCGAAAGTATGTTTTGAAATCCGAAATCTGTTTATCAATTTCACGCTGCTCTGCGGCAGAGGGGGGGGGGGCAGAAACGTCATTATTAAATTATGATAGATTAGAAAGATTATGTCAAATAGAATTTCCGATATATATTTACTAATATGTAATTTGTATCTACAAAGCGAAAGTATGTTTTGAAATCCGAAATCTGTTTATCAATTTCACGCCGCGGATTGGAAGTTGATCTGTCAGCACTATCCTTATCTTCAGGGCAGTTGTTTTTATTTTATTTGGTTTATAATTCCGTACTAAGTGTAGTATTTTATCTCCGTCTTTGATATGATTTAAATCAAGTTCCTCGTCATTATAATTCGCTTCCGATAGTGAAGAAAGTGACCCAGAGGTTATTGAAAACGAAAACATTTCGATTGACAAATTAGTCGGTATTCTCAACACAGCAATTATAGGACTTGGACAGCGGAACTTTGTAGCTAAACAAGAAATTATTTCTGTTTAATAGAATTAAAGAGAAAGTATTATCACATGAAACGAAGCAACTTCAACTTACGTTGAAGGAAATGTTTAATAAAGTAAACAAATAAATATTAAGCTTTTTCTTTTTGTAAATTTTGATACCCTTTAGTTCATAATTGTTCTTTATTTCATAAATTACGGTTTTATATTTTTAATTTTGTAATTTCTGCATGCCATCTTACCAGATTTAAACTGATGATCTATAATCCGGAAAAATCGATAATCCGGAATCGCCGAAGTCCCGACGAGTCCGGATTAACGACTTTTGACTGTATTGTATTTATATCAGAGATACTTTATTTGCTGTTTTCTCTTTATCTGATTGTATTAAGTCAAATTTTAAAGAAAATAAATCCTTTCATTAAACGTCAAAATAACATTGTACTGAGTAATAAGTTATGGTATTTCATTGATGGAGTAATGGAGTATTTGATTGCATTCCATTCTCCCTCCCTCTTTTTTTTTTTTTTACATTCTAAGGGGGTTGTATATTTGCAAAATGTATATATTATTTGTAAATATATATGTATATATTGTAAATGTATAAATTATATATATAATTAATAATTCTCACACTTCATGTCTCAACATTTTAATTTTGTGCATTATTCTTACCTTTCATTCTACCTCATTATTTTTTCTCAATTGTTAATACATCATTATCCTTTCCTTTCATTCAGTAGTTGAGTTACATTCTTTCATTTGTTATAAAGGTAAATGTTATTATATATTTTTAATTGATACCTGAATTATTAACAAATCAAATACTGATAATTTTGTCCCAGGAGTTTTATATACATTTTATTATTAATCCCGGCCTGGTGGCACAGTGGTTAGCGCACTGCGCAGCAGCATCACAGGTCTGGGGTTTGAACCCCGGACTGGGCAAGGTCGCCTGAGCCTTTCATCCCTTGATTTCCATCCACACTGGAACATTTGAAACACTGGGGGTCCTATGACAGGCTGACCACTTGTTCAGGGCATATGCTTATGCACCATGGGGCCCATGGTCAAGAATGCACCAGTGAGTGTAGTTTTTTTTAGTATTATTAATCCCATGATTGTTTAGATACATTATATTATATCCAATAAACATATACACATGTGCTTATTGGATGATTGTTTAGATTCATTATATTGTATATGCTTACATTTTTTTTTTTTTTTTTTTTTCATTTTAATGCCTGTTGTTTCTTAACATATTTTGAGTTTATAAAAGGCATCTCAGTATGTATTTGAAATAATCTTGGGATTATGAAATTCTGAAGTTCTTGTTTTTGTTTGATATTTGTAAAATTCTGAGTATATAAAATTTACACTGGGATAAAGTTACTGCTATATTTATGGCCCATAATTATAAATTATGCAACCTTAGCTGATGTTATACTCAGCAAAAAATTCCATTGAGCTTTTTAATGGCAAATATTAATATAATTCTGCAGTAACAGTTTCTAGTCATTGTCTAGTCTACAGCTGAATGATGTTCTGCAAAAAATGCTTTTTGGACCCCTCAGATGATTATAAATACTTTATCAATGTTATATTATCTTTATAATACTTGAACTGTGAAATTAAAACATCATGTTAGTGAATCTGCTTCTCTGTTTTTGTGCTGGGTATTCAGACAGAAAATGAAGTACTCTTCTTTGTAAAATTACAGTTCAAATTATAATTTGTCTTTAGTTAATCAATAAAAGATAACTCTCTTAACATAATCTCCTATACTCCAAAAATTAAGTACTTATAGCATTATTGTAGGAATAAAATGTAAACTTAAATGCCTTAAATGATTAATAATGAAAATTTTTAGATTCTTTTTGTTTTAATTATTTACTTATTTTTATTAAATATGGCAAAGTGTTAGTTTAAAAATATTTCACTTGGATAATGCATAAACTTTTAAGGTAATTCAGCTGTAGTTATTCTATCTTACTGCTGTAGATTATGATTATGCACTTATGATTAAAATTAAATTCCATTTCAGTGTTCTCACTCTGTAACAGAATGACTATAACTGTGTCAAAATGATATGAAAAGTTTAACTGATTTCTTATTTGTGATTATATTTAATATTTCTGAAAGAATTCTAAACCTATACAAGGTAGTTAGTGCAATTAATGTTCTTTAGAATTTTGCATTTTTATGAGATAAATATGACACATTAAGAGACCAGCGTCAACAACTTTATTTATAGAAAGAGCAATAGTAATTACATTATTAACATACATAAATAGCAATTACAAATTTTTACACATATGGGACAGCTGATATGTTGGTTTTATATTGAATATATATGTTGGCAGCAAAGCTTCTTTTGAAAACTAAACTAAGCTCAATGATTTCTATACCATTACTTAAGATATAAAATTTTCTGTATTAGCATATGATTTTGAAGCTGCATATCTAATTTATCAATCTATTGCATTAAACATTATTTATTGGTAAGACTGCAAGAAGGAAAAATTACAGTAATGAGAAATCAAAAGTGTGCAGTAAGCTGCCACTAATTTGAGCCTACAGGGACATCCAGAATATCCAGATTAGCAAAAGTATTTTAGAGATATTTTTTCCTTACAAAGATTTTCAGTTTTTGTTTGAATTATTTTGTTTCAGATTAACAAGATTTCATTATGTATGGACTGATGTTCATTTTAATTCATTTTTGCATTTTAAAATATCCAGTTTAATGTATAAAGATTTTTCAGTTCCAATTTTTATTTTACAAATTTAGTTTTGTACTTCAGTTTTAATGCAAATTACAAACTTAACATTCTGTACTATGCAGCACCTAGAACACTTTTGAAAAAGTTTTCTTTCCTATGAAATCTTTTCCCTTTAATATTATTTAAACTGCACTGAAATTGATTTTTCACTAGTAGTTTCATATAGCTTTATAAAAGTTGCTCAGAATCAAATTTTCTGTGTTGCAGTTTCATTATAGCTACTTTATGAACATTATAGCTACTTAACCATGTTTTATTTAATTAGCCATTTAGAAGTATTTTGAGAAAGCTTTATTAAAATTACTCAAAAATTTAAAGGAATTTTTTCATCCAATGCCCATTTTCAAATCCACTGTGGATGCATATTACACATACAGCAGTGTTAAAGAAGGATGCATAATTGGTGTTAATGGATTTTTTCCATTGAAAGTATATTACTCTATATATTATAGCTCTAGGAGTTTCAGTTTAGTTATTCACGTCTTAAAAGTTAGAGCATATAATATCGCTTCTGAAATAGTGAGCATATCTGTACATTTTGTTAGGGAAAACTTATTGGTTTCATTGATGGTGCTATGCAAATATGAAAAAATATTAATGCTAGTGTGCTAAAATAATGCCTGATGCTGTGTCAAAGAAGATCACAGTTTCTTTTCTATGACTATTCTGTTGTTTCTGTTAAGAAAACAACTTCAGATTCAAAAATATCTTTTTAAAATTTAGTATATCCTTGAATGACTACTATATCATATTACCATCCAGCATAGTTGCCAAGTGATTGCATTGACTCTTCAAGCAGTGGCTACAATGGTAGAGGGAAAGCTAATATTTTTCCTTACCATGAGGCAGTGGCTAAAGGTTCAGAGATAATCACCATATGATTATATGAGCTAATTAATTTAAGCCATATCCTTAAACTGAATGGGCTGTATGCTAACACACATATCTGCATATACTTCAAATGGGGAAAGGTATCAGAATCATGTTAAATCTTTCATGAAGCTGTGCGCATGCATTCAGATTTTGAAAGATCATGTGTGTCAGCCACATAAAAGCTCAGTAGATGAGCACATATTTTGAAAGTAAAGGTATTTCTCCTATTCAATGGTTAATGATTCTCTGGGCCTCAGTCTTATAGAAAATCTTTGAAATGTTCTTGGAAAAACTATCTCTGTCTGTCAACTACACTCAGAGTTAGTTTGCAGGTACTCCAAACTATCCTTCTGCTTCAAAACAGAAAAAAGGCATGCCAAAGTGAAACATAAAATTAGCAAAGCAACAACCTTGTGTTTGGGGTAGATTTAGTCAATAACTCAATTGATCAATACTGCTTTCCAGTCTTGCAGATTTTTTTGCTCCTGATGAAGAGGCACCTGTACCTATTAGCACTTAAAATTGATTGAATTATTGACTAAATCACTCTATCCTCTTTCTCCTTGTTGTCTGCTG